AGCTTTGACCCCCATACTCAAATAATATAATCCATGAACACCCCATGCAGCCCTTATTTCAACATTGATTATGCATGCAGTGAGCAAATTCTGTATTGGAAGCTAACTTGCATATATTTGTACTAGGAAGGGAGAAAAGTATTAATAGTAGTAACTAGCTTTAAATTGATATCACAGAGCTTTGAACTATAAGATCAACACTGTATACTTGAGAAATTCTCTTCATTTGGATTTCCCAAGACATTGTTCTGACCTTAACTACGGTGGAATATATTAATATTGAAATAGAACCCACAGGTGTACTATAAAGCTGAAATAAACACAGAAGAGAGAATTAAAATCAGAACATCTAATGTTTTTGCTGAACATAATGCCAGAAATTATTGCCAGGGAAAATAAATATTCATTTATTTATTTTATTTTATTTTATTTTATTTATATATTTGATTTATATGTTGTTGCACATATTTACAGCTGCAAGGTTGATCTGGACCCAAAAATGGAAAAATCAGGAAAATCCAAAGATGGAGGAGCTGTTTAAAAAATTATTGGATATTGCAGAAATTGCAGAAATTATTGGATATTGCAGAAATTGATAGCGTATCAGAGGCTTTACGTGAAAACCCGAGAATATATGTTAAAGAAAGCCGGAAAGTGTTTTATGATTCGGCCCAGAAATAAACATGAAGAAAGAATATAGCATATGTTAGGGATTTTAGTATTGTAACACAGCCGTGGAGCCAAGATTATATTAAATATTGTATTACTGTAAACACTTCCCTATGCATTTGGTCTGTTGTGTTTTGTTTTCTTTCCTCTCCCCCTTGTATTTGTTTCCCTTTGAATGTTTGATTGTTTGTTATATAATTTTTAAAAAGGAACTAGTGATAACTAGGGAGAGGGTTTCTATGACATGTCATTTTTTTAAACCTATGTTTGAGTTGATGGGTGGGTTTGAACATGTTTATGAGTAATCTGGCAAGGAAGGCCAGATTACTCATAAATATGTTTGAACTTGCTTATGGGTTCATGTGGAGGTTGCAGAGATACAAGATTTGTAATGTGAAATGTCATCAAAATCCATTTCCTAGCTTTTCAGAACATAGGCATATTAAATGTTATTACTGTATTTGCTGGCGTATAAGACTACTTTTTTGCCCTGAAAAACATGCCACCAAGTGGGGGGGGTCGTCTTATACGCCGGGTGCCCTTCAGTTGGGATAGACATAGCTGCCCATAGTGGCCTTCCGATGCCTGCCCCCCTCATTCTACATACCGTCCAGTATTGCGCGGCATCCAGTGCGGCCGTGGCGAACATCAGCAGCGAGACGGGGTGCCAGCCTTTTTGACGTGACCGGCCCGTTCTGCTCAGCGGGAAGCAGCGGGGCTCCAGCCCACCCCTTGTCTACACAGAGCTCACACATGTGCACTTGTGCACTAGTGCTGGTCACAGGGAGATGCAGGGGCGGGCCGGAGGCACTGCGGTCACGCTGTGGCCGTACAATGGTGACAATGAATAGCACCTTTTATTTGGTGTGTGGAAGGTGTGCGGAAGAGGGGGTGGTCTCACATAACAAACTATATTTTGAGTAGAAATGTTGGGAGGGGGTTGTCTTATATGCCCAGTCTTATACGCCAGCAAATACGGTACTAACTTTATATTTGGTAAGTGTATTGCTTGCTATGCTTAAAATAAGAGGAAAAAGTATATCTGTTATGTGCTTAGTAATGAATTAGTAAGAATGACTAAATTTAAGGCAATCTTTTGAAACATGCTATCATCAAATACTTTGTCTTAGTAAATAAGATTGTTAAGGGTGTTAGTCTTCAGTAGAACACAAGTATATCTACTGCCTTCTAATAGTGTTTTTTCTGGTTTATGGTGTACTTGCACACAAACCTATTACGTATATACATAGAGCTTATTTTAAACATATTTTACATATTTAAATCAGCCTTTCCTAACCTAATGTTGAAGGTATCTGTATTGATTTCTTCTACGTGTATTTATTGTGTTTATCTTAGAGATATTGGGGATTAATGATAAAATTAACAAGAGTAAGAGAATTTTTGTTTAAGATCTTGGATTACAATCTATGAAATAAAGAAAGAAAAGGAGATGGTATTATAAAAGAATCAATGTATTTCATCAGTGGGTATAAAAACATTAGCCCTGGGAAAGAGTGTTCCTCTAAGAGGTTTAGCTGCCCAGTCTTACTTGCATGGTACAAAATGATTTGCATTTTTAGAGAAATTCAGGTCTTCAGTGAGCTCTAGTGAAACATGAATAAATTGCTTTCTTTTCCTCTTTTACAGACTTTATGAAGCTGAATCCATTAGGGGTTGAGCCAAAGTGAAATGAAATAAAGGCTGCAACTGACATGATGGAAACCCTGGATTAGGTTTCCTAGTAGTCGAAGCTTAGCTGTGATGGCCCGTGTGTCAAGTTAGTGGTCTTTGGGGAAGCTCATGAGCACATGTGGATTTTTTTAAAGCTGCTGCAGGTCTCCAAAGCAAGCAAAAATCAAATACAGACGCAAACATTAGGAATTAAACGAAACCTCAGGAAGCAATTCATTAGAGAGAACTTGAATTGGCCATACCATCTTTTCCTAGCCTGCCAGTTGGCTATCCTCTACTAGCCGTCTTGCATGAAATTTATTGCATACATTCATGCCTGTAGAGAATAGGTTGTACATAAGAGAATGGCAGAAGTAATGCAGAACCACTCCTCTGATTTACAGCAGTTGGCCAAAGTAAACCAGAAGAACCTCAGTAAGCAGGGAAGCACTCTACACTTCCCCATTACTGACTTAAAGGTGTAAATGGTGATTTATTTGTTTGTTTGTTTGTTTGTTTAGAATAGTGTGATTAGCTTAGCTAATGCCATTGATAATAAAGTACTCTAAATACAGGTCCATCATCAAGGACCTTTGTGTACTTGAAGTGCTTAGGATCTATCAACTGCAAGCTGTATGGTTTGTGAAGTCTCATACAAAAGGGGAATTTGCACTTGTGGCTGAGAGAAATCTTTCAAGAGAAGTCCGGATTGGTTTGTGAGAAGAAAGTCAAAGAAATCAAGACCTTCAGCATTGACTGCATTGGTGCACTACACAGAATTCCTTATCTGTTTAGGTATTGAAAACTAACTATAATGAGAGTACAGTGGCACAGAACTGGAGATGTATAGTAGTCTTTTAGATAAATATACAAACATTTTACCCATCTGCATCTATAAGGGATCCCAGAACATTATAAAATGGAAATCTGATAAGCTTCTCATGCAAAAGGATTTGTTACCGTGATGAATGAATAATTGTAAAACTTTGTTAAAATGTAACCTGTGTTTAGTAAAGAAAAACAAAATTTGAAGTTTATGTAAAGCATGGTTCTGCTGATAATTTGCACGCTGAATTTTTAACATGTGCATTGCTTACTTTGAAATATAAACAGAGTGATGAATTCAGAGCTCTAACTGTCTGTAAATAAGAACTTCTCGACTGATCCTGGGAAGCCACATCATAACTCTGTCTGTTTCCATACCAGTTACTGTACTGCTTTGACTCTCAAACATTATTTTTCTTGAAGAGGAAATGTCCATGAAAAAATGTTTTTTGAATAGATACTTTTTTTCTTTCCTCTGCCATTTACATCTTTGTCCATATTTTTAAAAAGCACTAATTGCTAGTGTGAAGGAAATTATCCAATCTTATACCGAGAGAGTCAGCAGACCAATAGGGCATATCTTTAAAGGGTGACTTTTTCCTCCCTCAGGAGCATAACCTGAAGTACAACCGACTCTTCTCTAAGGTTCAGTGACAGGAAATCTGCCTTGGCTCTGAAGCATGAGAGCCTTCAACCTGCTTTTCCCACACTTTCTTACCCTGAAGGGATGCACTCAAAGCTAATGCTCCTTAAAAGCTTTGAAGCAAAACTCTAGCTTTACAGAAAATTTCCCTGGCATCCTATTTTGGTTCATTGCTGGATTTTCTCTGCTTTGCTGGTTTCAGTTTATATGCCCAGAAGATACCTTTTCCTAAAATCTGGAAATACCAGTTTTCAAAGAGGAAGCTTAGTGTGATCTCTAGATATTCAGAGAACAAATGATGTGTAAGCCTTTAAATATCATTAACATTATGGAAATAAACATTTCCATCATCAAAATGGTGTTGAGCATTCTCATTAATATGTTGGTAATGCATATTAATGAACTACAAAGGTGCAGGTCTCTTGAGACAGACAGTTTTCAGGAAGGAGTTGTGTCATTTACACATTTGAAATGAAAAGCAACAATACACATTCTGTGTCTTCCTCTTTGAATTTAGCTCTCCTCTAAGTGTGCTCAGTAGTTTTCCTGAGGTCCAGGAGGCTCATTGTACAGTATAGCCCTGGAACATTCAGGCCCTCTTACAAACAGGCCCCATGTGGGATGTGGCCAGATACCATCTTTGAACCATTGCTTAGACAATGGTAGATAGATATCGACCAAAATGGTTTGGCAAGTATATTTGAGAAAACCTACACAAATAGCATTCAGTTGACCACAGATGCTTGGAGCTATCCACATAACACTTTTTCACTTCACCTCACAAGCATGGATTCATTTTGTGGCATGGACTGATAACATAGTATCCAAGATCTGCATCATCAGGCAAAAAAGGATGAAGTTGAAAGCCACCCTGAAGGAAGTCATGCACTTTTCCTTGGCACAAAAGCACCAGCAGTCCATCCAGTCAGAACACCCAAAAGGCAGAACACTATTAAATGTCCAAGCAGATGGGATCACCCACAAACAGTTGGATCATAGAGAAGAGCCTCTACGTCGAGACTGTTTCCCTGTACAATCATGGACTTCTTTGTGACATTGTGTTAATGAAACAACTGTTTCCCAAGAGCTGCTGAAAGGTTTCAAGCATGAGCTGTTGGAATCATGAATGCTCTCGCTTTGGATTGGTCATGATGATTGTAATATGCAGTTCATCACTGTCTCTTGTCCACAGGGTTATCGGGAAAATCAAGGATCAAGAAATTACCCTAATGGCCCTGAAAGAACTGAGTCAGTCATGATAGGCACACCTAATGAATCTGTCAGCAGAACATCTGGCATTGCTTTCTCTGAGGTTGGACCTTCTCTATTTGGACCCAGGATTTCTAAAGCTGGTTAAATGAAGGTGGAGAGGCGTAACAAGTTCTCCAGCAACTACTGCAGTCTTGGAAGCATCTGGTATGAAAAATCATTGTCCTTCTCAAAAGTGCATTGCTTTTCTCCGTTCCAATGCTAGATGAACTCAATTACTCAAGAGAAATTGAAATACCACACTCTAATTCTGAAATACCAAACTGGGCATTCTCTATTGAATTCTGATTCTTTCCAAGTGAAGCTAGACTTCTCTCTCTTCAGAAACATTTTCACCCAACCACCGTATTTACATCTAAACATGTCAATGGTATTCCCTCACTCTGCTTTAGGTAAGAATCCTTTTTAAGATCATTGTCAAAGGAGATTCAAATGGAATGGATTGAACTTACTCAAGCAGTAAATTGATTGCATTCATTCAGATTCACTTGAAATTGTTCAGCTTCAGGTATAAATGGACAAGTAGAAAGGCAAGGTGGTAGGAAGCTCTGATCCAGAAGAATCTAAAGGAAACTACTTGATCTCCAGGGTGATTTTACTCATCACTGCTAGAAAGATAATATATTAAAGAGCTGTTTGAAGATAGAGGAGCAATAGAACCTACTGTCAATGTTGTTATTATGTACTGTCAGGTTGTTTCTGACATATACTGTTCCTATGAATTAATGACTGCCAGAAGACCTTATCAATAGCAGTCGTGCTCAGTTCTTGCAGACTAAACCTGTGTCATACCTGAGCAAGTCAACTCATCTCATGTTGGAGCCTTCTATTTTCTTGCTGCCTTTCACTTTCCCTAGTTTATCTTTCCCAGTGAATCTTGTCTTCTCAAATGTCGATATTGGATCGGAAATGCTGGTATAAAGTGCAATATGGCTAGGAAAGAATATCAAAGCTACTGGGTTCTATCAAGTTTTTGCAGAAGCAGTGAAGCTTATAATGATTTAGATGCTTTAGTGAATCTTTTCAATCAAATCTATAGAGTAGGAATCATTCCTGAAATTTTAGAGTAATGCCATTTATTGCGTGACTCTGAAAGGGAAATACAGTACTGAAGCATATAGGTAGTGACAGCAGAACAGTAAGCTTTATGAGTCATTTGCTTTAGGTTTTCTTAAAAATAATACAAGGAGGAAAACGTGTGACAGAGCAGAAGACATTCAGTTTGGATTCCAAAGAGGTTTTGGAACCAGGGAAGCACTCTTTGTCCCCATGTGTTTAGGGAGCAGTTGTGTGTCATAAATGTGGATATGTATGCTTGCTTTATTAATTGTGAGAAACCATTTAACCAAGTTCAACGCAGCAAGCTGATGGACTTGTTCTTAAGTACTTCATCAAATAACAAATCCTAAGATTCGCTACAAAGAAGCCACAACAGTTAATATACCATCAACATGCCATAACCATGTATTGTAAATATACTTGCGTTTCTCTAAGTGTCTCCATCCTCAGCGGCACTGACAAAGCTGCATCCATGTTCTGCTGCCTTTACATTCTCTTAGTAAGCTAGTATGCAACTTCTAGTAATTCAAATCTAGAATGCATCCAAATCAATTAATTATTTACTGCCCAATCAATTCTGGCTTATGGCAACCTGCCAAGGGCATTCTTGGAATAAAGGTACTCAGACATAATTTACCATTCCTTCTTTCTGGTGGTGGTCTAGAACTCTGCAGCTTGCCCAAAGCCACACAGTTGGCAGGGCACATAACCCCACAGACGCTCCAGGTGATCTCACCTGGGAGGCACAGTTATAATTTGAACTCGCATCCCTTAGCTGTGCTCCAACCCAGTAAACTGTACTTGTAGAATACAGCTAGGATAATAATAAGAAGAAGAAAAAATCCAGCAGTTTGGCAAACCTTTGACTTACATGCTTCTATACAGTATTGCTTAACTGATATTTGAACTCTCTATCATTGTTTAAAATGTAATATTTCGTTTACGCTTAATAAGCTAAGTTTGCTTTGTAAGATTTCTTCTGGGCTGATTCTAAATATGATCACTCAGCATGGCTTACCTCTAAGGAAATATGTGTGAGAGTGCAACCTAAATAGGTTTATAATCATTTTTTAAATACAATATGCCTGTGCTTTCCTCAAAGCTCTTTTTATAGTTAACACACTATACAGCCTTTTTACATTACATGATCAACTTTTTGACAATGCAGAAGTAGACAAGCCCAGCTAATGGAATAATAGCCTGCAGGGTGTTGCTAAATGATATACGAATATAATCAACCTTTGTGATGACTATTCAAAAGTAATCCCTTTTGCTTTCAAGTGCAACATATATTTCAGCAAAGCAAAGCTGTATTAAAAAAAATCTCTGTAGACTCCACTGAAACTCTATGGCCTTCATATCTCCACAGTGGTTTGGCTGTTCTCTGTGAGGTTTAAATTTAAGGTAATGGCTACTGTATATTCATGTGAGTGGAGAACAATACCTTTGATTTGTTGGAGAAATGTTATTCTAGCTACCAAGGGTCCTATTCTGTAAATTCTGCCACACTCCTTACATGTAGCTTACTCTGTAGTTTCTCTGTAATGGAGTGTGCTGGAAAAAATGGTTTGTGTAGTCAAATTTTACAAATTCATTAATTTTTATGGTCATAAAACTGCTTTATGACTTGTTCATAAAACTGCTATTAAATTGTCCTTGTTTCATGGCTGTTACTACAGATCACAGTTAAAATCTATAGCAATTAGTAAAAATTTAAAAACATTTCTTTAATACTGGTTAGTATTAACCATTCTTTCTTTCTTCATTTCACAATTTTAAATTACGGGTTTATAGGAAATATAGGTAAAATTAAAAACAAATTAAAAGTTTAAGATAATTAAACTTTTTTTTTTTTACTATAATCAGACTACTTCAGTAGAACTGTTGTTGTTGTTTTTTACTATAATCAGACTACTTCAGTAGCATTATCTCAGCCATTCACTAGAGGATATTTAGTACACATGGTAGGGCATAAATGGCTGCACGTAAGTACTACATTGATTACATATCTCTGAAGTCACACAAAATTTGTCCTGTAGCCCTGTAGCCTCATTTTACTTGATTATTCTTTAATCTTCCTACTTCACTTTGAATTCTATTAAGTGACTTCCAGATGACCCAGCTAAATTCATGTCCTGGTGGGAGAGACCCTTCAGCATTCTTCAATTTGGCAAATTGTGTTGTTTTTGTTTTCTATATGTTTAGCCTTGCTTCTTCTAGTTTAATATTTAGAGTTTGAGTTGTTTTCAAGAAAACTTTTCCTTGATTTTCACCATTGTCTAGGTGGTTAGTGTTCATAAAGTTGATGGTTTGGTGCTGTATTACCTTATTTTGTTCATTATTTGCTAGAACCTCTCGATGAACTTCTGGAGGGGCAATGCTAGCCAACAAGTAGACTTTTTCAGGGGGGTTGGTTTCAGGCAGCAGGTAATAATCCTGAATGATTCTTTAAGAGCTACCTTCACCTGTTTGGCATATGCTGATTTATATAGTACCGCTCTAGCAAATTCTGGTGTGGATTAGCCCAGGGACAAAGCTCTTATTCTAATTGTTTGTGAGTGTGCATCCCAATCTGTTTTCTAAATATGTTATTTCTGATGGCAACTTTCTGTTTGGTGTTTAGACAATTTTTTATGGATCAGGGTTCAATCTAGAGTGATGCCCAAATATTGTAATTTTGTTAGGGCAAGGTTCCAAGTGCTTGCCTTCTCAGCTGACTGAGAGCTTCTTCTCTGCCTCTCTGTTCTTTAAGTGGAAGGTGCAGGCCTGTGTTTTTAAAGGGTTTGGTTTCAGCCAGTTGTTTTTATAATATAAGGAAATACCTTCTAATGCAGAGGTTAGCTGGTGCTTGATGGCCTCAAAGGTTTTTCTCTGGATTGTCAAGGCAAGATCATCAGTAGAGATATAAAAATAGAAAGGAGCAAACAGGCAATAACATTGAACATTATTCCAGGACACTGTCTTGTATGCATCCCACTAAAATGTGTTCCATCCTTCAGAGGTCAGTAAAATTGTTACCCAGCTTGCGGGGGGGGGGTGTCAAAATGTTTCCTGCATAATTACATTGTAAACTGCTCAGAGGCAACTTTAGCACTATGAGACAGTACTGTATATGAGTTGAAACAACAACAATACATGGGGACTATGCAGAATCCCTACTGTCTGGAGAACCTATAGAGAGATTGTGCATATTTTTAATGAGGGAAATTTTCCATTTTATGCTGTTTTGCTAAAGCATGACCATTCAACATCCTCATAGTACAGACTATACTATTATAGGGAAAGTAATAACACTTTGAGATTAATATACACATATTAATCTGACTTTATTATTGTGCACTACTTTAAGAACTATTTGAAAAGTGCTATAGAAATATTTGTTAAATAAAATTTTATGCAACCAGTAACGATCCAGTTTTTATATAATGCTGAGATTGATTCCAAGTCTGTATTTATTTGACAAGGATCATATTTAAAACCATTTATGACTAACTGCAACATTGTAGGATCCTCCTAATAATAATTGTGCACCGCCAAGTCAAATCTGAATTATGGCAGCCCTTTTCAGAGTTTCCTAGGGGCAAAGTACTCCGAAGTGGTTTGCCATTCCCTTCTTCTGGGGGTGCCTTGGGACTGTGCAGCTTGCCCAAGGCCACACAGGCTGGCTCTTCTGGGATGCACAGTGGGGAACTGAACTCCCAATCTCTGGCTTCATAGCCAGATGCTTAGCTCACTGAGCTATCCAGCCAGCAGGATCTTCCTGAAGGCCTTGGTGATTATTAAACTTAGAGATGGGTGGAATTTTCACTTGGTTTGGTTTTATAGAAATACTTCTCAGAATCTGCTAAATTTTTAGTACATTTGTTAGAAAGAATCTAAAATAAAAATATTTTTATATGGAGAAAAGCAAAATTGACAGCCACCCATCCAGGTTTTGAGTGCTTGAGACTTAAAAGTTTAGGTCTGAATACTAGTGCACTCAGTGATATTTGTGGTAGTGTTTTAGGGTTGCTGAAAGCTGGCTGGATAGCTCAGTGGTTTAGGTGTGTGGCTGCAGAGCTGGAGGTTGGGAGTTTGATTCTCCACTGTGCCTCCAGGGGCGAAGAGCTGGCCTGTGTAGTCATAGGCAAGCTGCACAGTTTGAGGATGTCCCCAGAAGAAGGGAAACAATTTCTGCAAATTCTCTAGATAACCCTGGAAAGAGTTGCCATAGATTGAATTGACACTGATAGCATGCAATTATTATTTTTATCTAGCGTTGCCATTTCCTTTTCTTGACAGCTTTTCATCTTTAACAGCTATGTGGCTGGTGTGACCAAATCCATACTGGTACTTCCATATAGCTAAGAGCAGTCCCTCTGGAATTGGCCCAGCGCAGATTGTTGACAATGTTTATATCAGTCTACTGGAGCTTTGACTTCCTGATGGTCTTGTCAGTAAGGGTTTTATTTTTGGGACAACTGATGCTATTTCTGAAGTCAACCAATTCCATTTAGGGTCAGTTTGCCCTGCTGAGCGCTCTTGGGTCAGTTCCACACTGAAAACATTGCAGCTGTTCCGCTTGACCATAACTTCACATAATGCTTATGACAGAACAGGCTTCAAACCTACACATTCTAGAAGAAACTGCTAGATAAATATGAAATATGCAGATCCTTATTGGTTGAAAAAGAAATAGCACTCTTAACAAAACATTGAACTAAAGAAATGTATTTGTTAACTACTGTAAGTAGATACACCCAGTTATTGGTTGGGAAAGAAATAGCACTCTTAACAAAACATTGCTGAGAATGTGGCTTCAAAACCAGTTATGTAACAGAAGACAAATTTAAATCAGTCGAATCACCTTGAATCTTGTGGATGTCTAATAAGCTCTTGTGTCTGATTAAGTGGATTTGTCCACGAAAGCTCACGTTAAAAATTATAAAAGTTAGTATTTAAGGTCACATCATGCTTTTGTCTTTTTTTACTCTTTATTTTTATTTCATTTTCAGCTCTATGCTTGCACAGACTAACATGGTACCTCTTCTACAAAATAGTCACTACAAGTTTCCTTGCCCCGTGTACAAGTAGTGTAGTGCCACCTCTGAGTAGTATTATAGCCTGCTCCTGCCATAGGTGAAAATGTATTAAGGGCTGTGGGGAGGAATAGGTTTCTGGATTTTTCAGTGGCATTGATAGTTCTTGACCAGAGTAGCCCTGCTCCCATTTTGGGGGGGGGGGAATTATTCCCTTCCCTTTTGGCCCGTGAGCTGCCATGGGTCAAAGTTCAGGGGGAATAGGTTTCTGGATTTTTCAGTGGCATTGATAGTTCTTGACCAGAATAGCCCTGCTCCCATTTTTTTTAGGGGGGGGGAATCATTCCCTTCCCTTTTGGTCCGTGAGCTGCCATGGGTCAAAGTTCAGGGGGTAATGATGGTATGGAATCAGGAAAGGTTACTCGGGCCGTCTAAAGAACCAACCTCCCTGTCCAAGCAAAGGACAATCAACATTGCAGCCTATAAACTGTATAGAAGACTGAAATAAACCTCTAGTACTGATAAGTATATTTTCATTGATGATGTGTATATTTCACAGATGCTGAGAATGAAGAAAAGAGTGAGGAAACATCTAGATCTCCTATTATTTCTACAAATACTAGCTGGTACTTTATTTTGTCTTTTTTAAGCTATCTGCTACGCATACCTGCTACTGCTCATAAAATGTCAAAGGAAAATAATTTAACTTAATTTTCAACATGCTTTTAATGTACATGTTTGTTTATTTTGATCACAATGGATTCTGTTTCTGATGAAATCAGTAAAATGTGTTAGTACTGATTTTTCAAATTCAAGAGAGTTTTCCATTAGCCTAACCTAACTTCCCTTTGTTTTCCACTTTTCAGAGCTATGGGAGAGCTTCTGAAGGACACAAATGAATTTAAGAAGTTGCTTGCTAATATAAGCCATGGAATATAATCGTGGAGCACAATAAACACATGCTAGAGCTAATCAAGAATAGAATGTAGTGTGTTGTATCTTTTCTTTCTACAGTTATCAGAGGGAGTAGTGCTGTTCGCTCCTAACATCAGATTTCTCCTATACAGTACAGGGAAAGGGGAGGAAATACTCAAAATGTTCACTAGCTCTCCTCAACCATGCTTATTGGAGGCCCGATGAGATCACTGAAGTGAAAATAAGTTGTTCATATAGGTGCAGGGGAGAAAGGAGGGACTAGGCAGGTGACCGGTGAGTGGGTGTTTTGGCCCACACTGAATTGCCCAGATGCCCCAAATAATAAGGATCCATGTCTCCTCACCACCGTCCCACCCACCCCCACAATCTAAATGAACAGAAAAGAATTTAAATGGGCAGGAAATTTGCTGCCCAGAAACAGGGCCCCAGGAATGGCGGTACCACCTGCTCCCTTTCTCTCCCTGCCTTTCCCATTCTCCATGCAGATTTCTGGTAATGATTGCAAGGGACGGATTACTACTTTTACTGTCAGAGCCAGGCAGCATGGAGATCAGCAAGTGTTGGCCTTCCTGTGTGCAAGTCTGAATTCTTTTGCATGTCCACTCAGAAGCCCCACCATTTTCAGGAAAGCTACTTTGAATGAGCATGTGCAGGATCTCATTTCTGTGTCAGTTTTGAGAGATTGGAGTAATGTAGATTCAGGTCTTGTTCATTATCAGAAAGGAAAAGAGCCCCAGGAGTTATGAGGAAGTGACCACTTTTATGTTGTTGTTTTTTGTGTTTTGTTTTTGTTTTATTTTTTAAAATGATATGCCTTCTTTAAGATCTGGGCTATGAACTTTATTCCCTAGTCTCACTTTTGGAGATCTGTTTTTGTTTTCTTATATGCATTGCAAACTCTCTTTTTTTTAGTTGTTCATGCCCTATTGTGAGATGTGATTCCTCTGCAGACCATGCTGCTCTTCTGGTCAGAAAAATATCCACCCTTTCCAGCTGTCTGTCTTATCATAAAGATAACTGTATCCTAGGTTTTAAAACTCCCTGTTTGGGATGTTCTATGAATGTGGAAAAGGAGCAGATGTTTGCATATTCTCAGATTTTGCTTCCCATTCTTATTCCAATGTAAATTTAATCTTTTTATTTGTGAGTAGTCCTGTGCAAGCAAGATTTTTGTACTCCACAGTTCCACATTCTTACATCTAAATAAGAATGGACTGAAGAGTAACTGCATGCTATCTAGTTGAGTCTGACTGAGAGCAACCCTTTCCAGGATTTTGTAGGTACAGAGTACCAGAAGTGGTTTCCCATTTCCTTTTTCTGCAGGTCCCTGGGACTATGAAGCTTGCCCAAGGCCGCACAGGCTGGCTTTTGTTCTAGGAGGCACAGTGAGGAATTGAACTGCCAAAATCTGACTCTGAAGCTAGGCACCCAACTCCCCGAGCTATCCAGCCTACTCATTCAGATTAAGAGAGGTGCATTTTAAATGCTTCACAATTTTTGTAATGCTTACCCAAGTAACCCAGTGAACCTTAACTTTTCAGTTCACCTATATAAGGTGGATTTTGTACTATGCTATTTCTCACCTGCTGAGTATGGAATGAAGAGGGGTGATCGTATTAAAAGATGTGAATTTGCTATCAGGTGCCTTTTCTATTCCCAGGTTGTCTTGTTTCAGTTTTGTGTCTGGTTTATTTCCATTTTTAATCCTGGAAATATTGCTGCTGTGTACACCAAATGTTTCTGTTCAATGTTCCAGCAATCTAAACATGACCTTTTCTAGAATAAACAGGGGGAGGGGCAGACAGGCCTGGACATATTGCTGCAAACAAACAACAACCCCTCTCCCTCTTTGCTGTTGTTGCTGCTACTTAGTGTTCTGTTTTTAAACCTGTGTTATTGAACATCTACATGAAACTGCTGGGAAAGGTTGCCCAGAGTTTTAGGGTTTGCTGTCACCCTTATGCAGATGACACCCAACTCTCTCTCTCTCTCTCTCTCCTTACCATCTAAATCTAGGGAGACTGTTTTGGCTCTAGATTGGTGTCCACCATCAGTAGTGGACCAGAAGAGGGTGAATAAACTGGAACGTAATCCAGACAAGACAGGTGTGCCTAACCAGTCAAAAGGCAGATCAAGGAACAGGAATGCAGCGTTTGCTGAATGGGGTTACACTCCCTCTGAAAACACAGGTGTACAGCCTGGGGGTACTCCAGGATTCATCTCTGAGCCTGGATGCCCAGGTTTCAGTACCGGCCAGGAGTGCATCTGCACAATTAAAACTAGTGCACCAGCTGAGTCTGTTCCTGGAGAGGTCTGATCTGGCCATGGTGACACATGCCTCAGTTACATCCCAGCTGGATGACTGGAACACATTCTACATGAGGCTGCTTCTGGATAGTATCCAGAAGCATCAGCAGGTCCAAAACGTGCAGCCAAGTTACTAACTGGAGCTGGTTACAGGGATCACTTTTTAATTTATTTACCCAAATGGCAGCTTATTCTACAAAATGGACACTAATAAAGTTCCAAATACCTTCCACTATCCCCATAGAAAAGAACAAATGTTATGAAATTCAAAATGTAATACAGCTGATCTTCAAAGAGTGTATGTGGTTCTCCTTTATCTGGGGGGGGGGACCCTGCTTCAGCAAACAGTAAAAATGTGTCATGCTTATGTCTCAGATACTTACTCTGCATTTTGTGCATAAACATTTGCAAGCATGGGGACCAGCACCAAGAGACCCAACATACTGACTCAACGCAATGCTTAGCAAGAGCTATTACTTTTCCTTGTGGCTTCTTATATAACTGTTAGCACAGCAGTTTGGGGGCTGCATCACAATAATCCATATTAAACTAGCATGCTGTGAATGATTGTCAGTTTGAGGATACAAAAAACCTCCGAGATAACTACAGTCACTACCAGAAGCACCCACTAGTAAAAATTAGAACAGGAAAAACAAGCTTCTTATCACATTTCCCTTCCATAATGCGTCTAAAATTCACAGCCATCATCCTTATGTTTATAATACTAGAATTTGTGAAAAGATCCTTTCCGCTGTTCATCCAGCTCTGGTCTGTGCAGAAAATACATTAGCTGTCCTGCAAGATTTATCAGATCAGCAGAGGAGTGAATGCTGAAAAGATAGCACTAGGAACTTTTGACCAAAAAAAATCAGCACTCCCTGTGCCCTGGTCTACAGCATTTTTTTTTTAAAAGTTATGCCAGTTTTCATGTACTCTTCTAATCTTGAGAAGCCGAAAAGGTTCTGTGCCCAGAGAACCTTTCTCAGTTCCATTCCTCTCTATTTTAAATAATGTATTTTGCTTCTCCAGAATGTAATAAGTCCTCTTTCATTTTACCAGTGGAAACTGATCACTCTCCAAAGCACATTCTGTATCTTTGTGTGTGTCTGTGTACAGTTGTGGAATCCATGTGGGCCTCCTCTGAGTTTGGTATCAGAATCACTCTTCAGATCTTCTTAGATTGCTTGTGCAAAATGTGTGATTATTGCTTCCCTCATTAGTCTGTCTAAGATGCTAATATATGATATAATCACATAATTAGCATTTCCTAGCAAAGCCCAAAATAACCCACATAGCTTAATATAAACAGTGTGGCATAACTAAACCACAGGGGAGCAACAAACCAGTAAAACGAAAAACAGCTTTTAGATCTCTTGAGTTCTTTTATGTGCCATCAAGCTGGAACCCTCTTATAGCAACCCTAATAGGGCTTTCAAATTAAGTAAGATATTTAAAGGATGGTTTTACAAGTGCCATGCCTACAGTGAGTTCCCATGGACAAGCATGGATTCGAACCCTACTCTCCTGAGTCCTGGTCTGTAATTTTTGTCCACTGCAGCACACTGGCTTCTCTTCACGGCTTTTGGAATTCACAGATTCTGATGAAGCAATCCTTTGCTTTTACCTTCTCCAAGGATCTGTTGTGAGAAATGTGTATTGCCAGTATATTCTGAACGTTGCTCTGTATTTGATGGTTAGTGGCTAAAGAAATGCCAAAGGTCATAGCATCTAAGCAGAATGGGGCAATGGTTTCTTACCCTTAAAATACTGCTCGGCAAGTGGCAGTTCTTTGGAGAACTCGGAGCTGATGTTCATTAAATACTCTGAGAAGGATGTAAATACTGAACACAGTCATGCACACTTTTTAGTTAAAAGGTGGCATTTTAAAAAATGGAGGGATGGAGCAGAGAGCCTCCAAGATTTGTGTGGCCCTCAGAGGTCCACAAAAGCACCCCCTCACTTTGTGTGTTAGAAACAACGAATCTCTGACATAAAGTCTCCACAGAGAAGCACCCAGCACCCCCCATGCTCTCAGATTGCAGCTATCTCCCTTTCTACTCCATCCTTCCCTTTTTGTCCTAAAACTGCTCCTTTCGTTACATCATACCTCCACACCTTATCTCAGCCCCTTTCCTTTCACTCAAAAGGGGCTTGCCATATCCCCAGTTCTGTCTTTTCTCCTGCGCCAAACATCCAAGGCACACGTCCAAATATATTCCAGTGATTCATGTCCTATTAATAGACATCAATAGAATATTCTGCCATTAGTTTTCTTCTATCAAAATCCCAGACTCTGATGAGGCATTTATTTAAATCAGAACTGTAATGATAGCTCTACTTACAGCAATCAAATGAAGAGC